CAGTAATATCTCCAGATGAACACTTACTGGACTGAAGCAGCTCAGCTTTACTTGATTCTCCATCAATCATGTTTTAGAGTCTCAAATCTGATCCTCAGGATCTTTTGAGGAGCGTTTGTTTCCAGAAGCTTTACTTTCACTGTTCCTCAGCGGAGGAATGATCTTCACAAGCCTCCAGAACATCTCACGTCTTCTGAGGAGCCTTTATTTCTTCAGCTCTCAATCACTGCGTTATATGTTTGGAGCATTTCAGACTCTTCTTACTGAGACAGATTACTGCAGATATAGAGACGATATTTAGATCATTTACAGCACAAGCATCAGAATCTCATCATATAAAAATCAGCATGAGCCTCTGAATAACATTTAGCTGTTTTTTCCTCCATATTTAGAATGTTATTGATTTGTTTGTTTGTGTGTGTGTGTGTGTGTGTGTGTGTGTGTGTGTGTGTGTTCTGTGTGTGTGTAGGGGATGAGCAGTACACAGAGGGAGCTGAAGACCGGATACCTGCGCCGAGCAGCCCGTTCTTCCTCACCGACCCGGCACAGCTCTGGTACAAGACCTGCTCTCATTCACTTTTTATTGGTTGGTGGAAATGAGCTTCCACAGTGCTCAGCCGTGTTGACTCTGAATGTGCCGTGTGTTTGTGTGTCCTGCAGTGTGCCAGAGCTGGCTGAAGAGGGCGCTAGCGGCGTCCGCGGCCCTGTGCTGTTCCACCCAGCGCCCAACTGCAGGATTAGAGAGGTGCATTGTGGGAGTCAGGTCCGGCTCGTCGTCATAGCCATTCGAGACATTGCCAAAGGAGAGGAGATCACAGTGGACTACAGCCTGACCGACTGGGGAGAAAATGCCATGGTGAATGACCAGAACCTCACTGAAACACGCTATACTGTATTCTCCGCACATCTGCGTAACCTTTAATTCATTCATGATCTATTAAACCGCAGGGCTTTCATACTTCGGTGTCCCCGCGCGGGTTTGAATGTGGATTCAACCCAGAGAGCAACATCAAGAAGGTGATTTCATGCAACACACACACACACACTCACTCACTCACTCACTCACTCACTCACACACACACACTGACTGTCTTTACATGCACAGCTGGAGTAAAGTCAGATTGTAGATCATGAACCGTTTATACGATTTACGCTTTAAATGTGCCATGAACACCGCAATCTGATGTGCATCACACATGCATTTAAACAAAACTGCAGTGCATGTGAAAAATAGCAAGGAATATGAGGAGTTGCTCTGAAAATTGGAAAATAACATTTTAAATATGCTACAATAAATTGGAAAATAAGATAAGTTATTGAAGATATCACAAATCACTCATACACACACACACACACACACACACACACACACACACTCACTCATACACACACTCACACACACACACACACACACACACACTCACTCACTCACTCACTCACTCACTCACACACACACACTGACTGTCTTTACATGCACAGCTGGAGTAAAGTCAGATTGTAGATCATGAACCGTTTATACGATTTACGCTTTAAATGTGCCATGAACACCGCAATCTGATGTGCATCACACATGCATTTAAACAAAACTGCAGTGCATGTGAAAAATAGCAAGGAATATGAGGAGTTGCTCTGAAAATTGGAAAATAACATTTTAAATATGCTACAATAAATTGGAAAATAAGATAAGTTATTGAAGATATCACAAATTAGATGTGGCATCCTTAAATTAAATTTTTTTCTCCAGTCATCAACCATCTTCTCAAATGTGTGTAAAATGAAATGCTGTTGTCAACAAAACTAAAAGAAAATTATTATTTTTTCTTAAATACAGTGAAATATTGCATTAGTAACATTTTTGCATTTTATTTTTATTTAGTAATATTCAAGATCATAAAAGCAGGGTTATTATAGTTAACTAAAACATTATAGTAAAAAAAAAAAAATTTTTCACGTGAAACTAAAAATACTTAAAATAAATGACCCATATGAACATGAAAAATAAACACCTGCTTGTCATGTCAAACTTTTTTTTTTTTTGCTATGATGTGGGGTTATTAACTAAAACTAAAACCATTCAAACATTTTTATTACCTGAAATAAAATAAACTTTAACTGAAAAAAATAAAACACATTTCAGCTGTTTAACAAGGCACCATTTCTCATTTTCGTTTACTTTGAAGGTACCAAAAATAGCTACAACGAAATAATTCGAAACTAATAAAAAAATACACAACAATATGTGACCCTGGACCACACAACCAGTCATAAGGGTCAATTTTGAGATTTATGCATCATCTGAAAGCTGAATAAATAATCTCTCCATTGATGTATGGTTTGTTAGGATCGGACAATATTTGAAAATCTGGAATCTGAGGGTGCAAAAAAATCTAAATATTGAGACTGATTTTAAACATCTTTAAAGTTGTTCAAATGAAGTTCTTAGCAATGCATATTACTAATCAAACATTAACTTTTGTGCTCCAGGCTCGCATATTCCTAAAACTTGAAATGAATATTGAAAATAGAAAATAAAATCTAATGCAAAATATGAACACAAACTGTAATACTGTACCATGATACTAAATAAGCTGCTGTGATGTTTGTCAAACAACAATAAAATCATCTTCAGACTGGTGTGAACAGGCCCGAAATCTATGAGAGATTTCTCTTGCACAGGAGCATTTTCCCATCTGTAGCTAGCTATTGAATGGTGCATGTTTAACTCGCAGCTGGCTTGTGTCTCTGCAGGAGGAGGAGCCGGGTTCACTCCCAATGTCTCTCAGCGTTTCTGACTACCTCACTCCGTCATGGTCCCTGTCTCCCTCCTCCTCTCCGCTGTCTCACTCCGAGGCCAGAGACTCTGACCGAGAGGAGGACGAAGAGGAGGAGGACGACGACGACGACGACGATGATGATGACGACGAAGATGATCTGGAGGATCTGCGGGGCCGCATGATGAGACGCCGCAAGAAACAGAAAACCTCGGCGACCATCAAGAAGAAAGCCCAGCCCCGCCCCCTGTCCTTCACATGCCCCGCCCCTTCCTCACCGACGCCCTTCCAGCAGCCTCTAGCCCCGCCCACCACCAACATAAACAATAACATAAACATAAACATCGGCGCGAGCGGCGCGCTCTCCCGCAGACAGCACTGTCCCTACTGCGGCCGTCACTTCCGCTCGCTCGCTAGGCACCTGGAGAAACACCACGAGCAGCAGCCCGAGGTCCGAGCAGCCATGGAGCTGTCGCACCCCCCCGCCTCCTCGCACCCCGTCACATCTCCCTCTCAGCCCTCGCCCTCCCTGTTTCCCCGCGAGCGAGACGCTTCGTCTTCAGCGCCGAAGTCCGGAGGCGTCTCCTTCTCGCTCTCGCTGTCTCCGCCTCCTGCCTCCAATACCGCAAAAAAGAGCTCAGCGACAGCGCCTAAAAACAAGAGCCCGGCCGTCTCGCCCAAGCCTCCCGCCAGGAGAGGACGGCCGCCGAAGAAAGAGAAAGAACAGCAGCAGAAGAAGCAGGAGGAGCCCGGGAAACAGGAGGAGGAGGTGGAGGAGGAGAAGAATCAAGAAGACGGAGGCGCAGAGGAGAAGAACAGTGACGTGGCGAGGTGAGCTTGTCTTAGAACATGCACTTTCTCTTCAATCTTTAATCTATTTTTAAATGTTAGATTTTTCTATTTTACAGTGAAATATTACAATAGTAGTGTTTTATTGTGTTTACTATTTCATTCTAGTAATAATAATCACAATAGTAGTAATAGTCTTGCGTTAGACTGACGGCTGAAGAACCGTGGCCGCTTTGAATGGCGCACAAGAGGCCGTATGATTGACAGGTTAAGCAACCAATCACGTTTCATTTTGTGCCGCGTTTCATGTTTAGGGGCGTGGAAATGTCCCCACAATAACAGACCGGCGTGTGAAACTCTCGGACGTATTTGAAAGATTCTATGCCACGAAATTTAAATATTATACTTTGAAACTCCTGAAGTGTTTCCAGTTTTGAGTGCCGTATGCATCAGACGTTCAGGCAACAGTCCGTGGGCGTGACGTCTGAGGATTAGACTATAGTAATAATAATCATAATAACTACTATTATTTCATATTCACATTGGCATATAATCACAAAATTCTTGGCCAGATTGTGCAGCCCTACAAACTAGCACAGCAAACTTTTAATGCCACTTTAGTCGCAGTTTTATCAGAAAATGTTCAATTACATACATAATATGTAAATAATAACGGTAGCACGTTAGATTATAATAAAGTCCACATTTGCTGCTTATTGATAGTAAATAAGACAGTTGTTGTAGTTGTTATGTTTAGGAATAAACTAGGGTTAAGAGATCTAGGATATGGTCATGCAGGACAACGGATTAATATCTGCTCTATAAGTAATAATTAACAGCCAATATGCTAGTAATGTGCATGCTAATAACCAACTAGTTAATAGTCAATAGTGTTCCCTGATCTAAAGTGTTACCGTAATAATTAATAAATGTAAGTTGAAACCAGCGTTGGGGGTTACGCATTAAGTAACGTGAGTTACGTAATCAGATTACTTTTTTCAAGTCACTTTTACAATGCATTATCTAGTAATCAAGTCAAGTCTGCTTTATTGTCAATTCTTCCACATGTACAGCACATACACACAGAGAATTGAAATTGCGTTACTCTCAGACCCTTGGTGCATACAGATAACACTAACAGTAGAACATAAATACAGATAGATACAGATTGAATATAAAATACAACTATACAAATATGGTAAGATATAAATAAATATATAAAGCAGCACAAGGCACATGGCAGATAGAGTGCAAACCAGTGAAGTAAATAACTGCAGATATAATGATTGTAGTGCAAAAGAGCTTATTCAGACTGATTAAAGTGACAGTGTGTGTGTGTATTTGGGAGGGGGGGAGTGGGAGAGTCCATCAGAGGGTCAGAGTTCAGAGGTGCGTGGGGCAAAAGAGGGGAGGAGGGGCAAGGTCGGGAGGGAGTTCAGCTTCCTGACAGCCTGATGGATGAAGCTGTCCTTCAGTCTGCTGGTCCTGGCCTGGAGACTCCGCAGTCTCCTCCCTGATGGCAGCAGACTGAAGAAGCTGTGTGTCGGGTGGGTGGGATCACCTGCAATGCAGAGGGCTTTGCGTGTGAGACGCGTGTTGTAGATGTCCTGAAGGGAGGGGAGAGAGGCACCGACGATCTTCTCAGCTGCTCTCACTATGTGTTGAAGTGTCTTGCGGCAGGACGCGTTGCAGGCGCCATACCACACAGTGATGCAGCTGGTCAGGATGCTCTCGATGGTGCCTCTGTAGAAGGTGCACATGATGGAGGCCGGGGCTCTGGCTCTTCTTAGTTTGCG